CTTATCACGAGAAATGTGGTTTAGAGACCGTCTGGAGGGTGACCAGATTCTAGGGCTTTGTGTGAGCGTCCCATGCCCACAGTGGGAGAAGGGTGGAGCAGGTGGTAGAAGGACAGGGAGCTTTCTTTGTTTGCAGTTCTTTTGAAATTTCTCCTTCTGGGCTGCGTCTGTCAATTGGGGTATTGCCATCCGCAGTTGTCTTTCGTGGGGCCATGGAAGACGTTTTGATACCTTGAAGCTGCTTTGAAAAGTGTCATCTAAAGGGATCTGGCTGTTTAAATTCCAGTGGAGTTTTTGTTCCAGCATCTTCTTTACAGACAGGGCTCCTGTCTAGTCTAGCTCTCCCGCTGATCCACTGTGTGCGGCTGGGTAACTTCTTCCAGTTCTCTGAGACTCCGTGTCCTTGTATGTAAATCTCTCTACCACCTACAGGTTTGTTGGAGGAGCTTTGAAAACCAGGCAGAGGTGGACCTTTTATTCTATGAATATGCAATGTTTGGGATAGATTTTTTTTAAGACCAGATCTTACTGGGTAACCCATGAGCTTTTGATCCTCTTGCCAGGGTCTCCCAAGTCTTAGAATTATTGGTGGGAATCACCACACCCAGCTTGGAATATGGATTTTAATAAAAAATAAAAAAAAAACAGTCAAAATCTGCCAATATATACAAAATATACTAAACCTTTCTGTGAAAAAGGTAGTCTAAAACTTCACAGGGAGTAGCGTTCCGATGGAAATCAATTGTATATTGGAGTTCTCTCATGCTCTAGAAGGCTCCATGGCATATATTTCAAAGCGTCTTCAGGCCTGGGTAGACACTCCCCACATTTCAAGGAGGATGAAAGTCTCTAAGAGGAGGAGGCATGCTCTAGATGCACAAGGCTACATGGGGCATCTCAGCTGGAGCCTGGAGTCCTAGTCTGGGCCCAGCTATTGGCTGTCTGTTTGACCGGGAGACGCATGATGTCACCCCCCCCCCCTCTGGTTTCCTGTTTCCTTGTCTACATTATGCAGGGGAGGAGAAGGAAGGACATGGAATTCCTTCTAGCCCTGCTACTCAACATTAAACTCTGCTAATCTCCTCCAAGCCCCCAAGTCATTTTGGCCACTCAGGGAGCCCGTTGCACTTTCTCTCGACCCTGAATTGCTTTCTGGCCTTGCGCTGTGTCCCCTGTCTGGGCTGGCATGGAGGTGCTCCTCTCATTCTGCTTCCATGAGGTTCAGTCATTTAGATGACAGTTTTCTTCCGCATGACTGTGAGCTTCCTGAGGGAGACCGGGCCATGCTCACTGGTCCTTAGATCCTCTCAGAAAAGAGTGTGCTGCTGTACTGAGTGCCCAAGGCCCAGATGAAGAGCAGAAGGAGGGAGAACATGAGCAAGGAAGTCAGGACCGCGAGAGGTGCGTCCACCCACTGAGACGATGTGACTGATCTAATGGGAGCTCACCAAGGCCAGCTGGACTGGGACTGATGGAGCATGTGATCTAACTGGACTCTCTGAATGTGGCTGACAATGAGGGCGGACTGAGAAGCCAATGATAATGACACTGGGTTTTGATTCTACTGCATATACTAGCTTTCTGGGAGGCTAGTCTGTTTGGCTGCTCACCTTCCTAGACCTGGATGGAGGGGGGAGGGCCTTGGACTTCCCACAGGGCAGGGCACCCTGACTTCTCTTAGGACTGGAGAGGGAGGGGGAGGAAGAGTGGGGGGAGTGGGAGGGAAATGGGAGGATGGGAGGAGGTGGAAATTTTTAATAAATAAATAAATTTAAAAGAAAAGAAAAGAGTGTGCTGCCTTGCCAACGGCAAGACCCAAGACACGGATGCTCCACGGAAGGGAAAATTGTGGATTGCTAGATATGGCCTACGTGTGTGCTCCCTGCATGGTGACCCTGCCTTTCCTTCTACCAGACTATCTCTGCTTGTGCAAGGCCAAGAGACAGAAAGCCAGTGAGGGTAATGTCTGTCCCTTTGGTATCTGTAGTTTATTTCATCCATGCCATCTTACAAATCCGGGACCTTCTGGGGCTTCCTCCGGACTCTCTCAATGGAAAGAAAGGCCAGTCTACCGAAGCGAGGCATCTCCTTGCTTCACAGTGGAGAATCAAATGCCCAAGGCTTGTCCTCCCGAGACGGTTGAATTTCCAGTTGTGATGGAGATCTTCCTGGGGAAGCCATGGCTCACTTCCCTCTGAGGTGGTTGATAATACCAGCTGAATGGCTGGAAGCTTTTCTGGGACAGCAGGACCCCATGGTCTTACGGCTACCTCCATTTCCTCTCTCTGAATCTGACACATTGCAAGGGCAGAGACTCTCGGTTTTACTTCTGAAGCCCTGGGAGTGCAGATGCTCAGCGAACATTCATGGAGCAAATGAAGGCCCTCACAGTGCAGCTTCTGTGTGCCGCGGAGGATGTACAAACTCATTCTGCTCTATAATATGCTTCAAACAACATATGAGGTATGCTCTCCCGCAACTGGGGATTTTCTGGTTGTTCTTTTTGCTTTGTGCTGGCTCATTGCTCGGAGCAACTGGAGAAGGCTCCATTTCCCTAGGGTCTGGATTGTTTCCTATAACATGGGGTTCGGGGCTACTGTGGGCACAGGTCCTCTGGGAAAACTGGGAATTTCAGTGTTGGCTGTCTCTGAAGCATGGCAACCAGGGTGTCTACTCTGGTGTTCTTGTATATGTGTGTGTGTGTGTGTGTGTGTGTGTGTGTGTGTGTGTATGTGTGTAGGGGGACTATATGTTTTCTGAACATCGCAAAGACCCTTAGTTCCTTAGCTGTCCAGCTGTTCCACAGCTGTGTGAAAGCTTGGGCCAAGATCCTGGACTCTGGGAGAGGGAATGATTTCCCAGTATGGCTTCTCTCCTTTTTCCTAATTTTCCATGAATGTTATTGTTTATCACTGGCCTTGCAGCCACACAGGCAAGATGCAGCAGGATACTGAGGGCATCGTACAGACAACAGAAGCTGATCTCTTTCCCACAGACAGAGTCAGAATGCTCTTTCTCTTACTTGAAGACAAGGAGGCTCGTTACCCTTCCTCACTTTGCCCTGCCTTTCTCTATGTGATCTCTTGAGAACAAAACACCCCTCCCCCCACATAAAACTCCTTCCTGCTCTGATATCACCTTCCTGATAAATGTTTTCCCAGTCCCACAACTAATACATAACCCTGCAATTTCACTTAGAACAATCCATGAACACTCAACCTTGGTGCTTCCTCCTTCCTCTGAGTTCCTGGAGGATGGACAGGACTTTCGCATCTCCACGCCTCCTGTAAGACACGGTCCTCCAAAAGAGATGCTACATGCTTGGGCAACTGAATAATGATGATCTCCCCATGTTTCAGCTAGATTAAGGGACATAGCAACATGATGGGATTCTAGGCAGGCACACATCTCTGCTCAAAAGCCATCAAGGCCCAAACCCTATGGGCACCTTGCTTTTAATTCTTCTCATAGCTGTCATCTGAGGTTATCTGAATGACTGCTGTCTGGATGTGGGCAAGGGAAAGACAGTCCAGACAAACATCAAGGCTCTAAAACAACATTTCTAGGATTCCAGAGCCAACCTACCAGTTGAATTAGAATGACCACAATATTACACACTTGGCCTTTTGATCCTCATGGAGTTTGAGATTGTAGAACGCTGTAGACAGGAAATTTCCAGAAGGGAAGACGCCAAGTTTCTAGTTCTCCAGTTTCTAACATTGTGCAGAACACAGGGAAGTCTCTCAGTTTAAATCAAAGAGAGCTGCCTAAGTGTGTCAGCTGCCAGCATTAGAAAGAGAAATTTTTTTTTGTTGTTTTTGTGTCTGTCTTCTTTATTTTTCCAGTAACTCCCTGGTAGAAGCAGGTTCTACCACGTGGGAATGTGGAGTATATTATGGAGAATATTATGCAAGTTTACACCATAGAGAAATGGAAGCTAATTTTATGGCTAATATAAAGACTTGAATAACCTTGATGGGCAAACTGCCTCATGGTGTGGGAAGTCCTTCTGTCTATGTGTTGCTTTTATTAGTTAATGAGTAAAGAAGCTGCTTTGGCCTGTGATAGGGCAGAGCAGAGCTAGGTGGGAAACTCAAATTGAATGCTGGGAGAAAGAAGGCGGAGTCAGTGACATGCCATGTAGCCACCAGAGAAGACAGATGTGCCCCGAAACTTTACTTGTAAACCACGAGCCTCATGGTAAAATATAAAATAATAGAAATGGATTGGTTAACAAGATATAAAAGCTAGCTAGCAACATGCTTAAGTGGTTGGCCAAGCAATGTTTTAATTAATACAGTTTTGTGTAATTATTTTGGGTCTGAGCAGCTGGAAACAAACGAGTAGCCTCTGTTAACAGCCTCATTTTATATTTGGGGAGAGTAAGGTTCAGAGACACCTAGTACCCGGGTGGGGTTAAGATGCAAGTTTTAATTAAAATGGGTTTTCACCCTGAGTTAATATTCTATAAGGCTAACCCCTCTTCCTTTGGGTTTTGGCTGTCCAACACTTGGGAAAAAAAGCAAAGGCAGACGTTATTACAAACCTATATGGATGAGAGAGTGTGAAGGGAAAGTGTGCCTTGATGTTCCTGAGAGGGTTACCTTCAGAATCAGAGGCGACACCTTAATCCAGATGAGTGAACCTCCTTCCCTGGAGGAACATCCTTCACAGTTTCCGGGATACAAAAGAGGGCTGCTTCTGCAAACCCAGACCAGGTAACGATTCCACCACAGGGATAACCGAGGATGCTTCTCCTTGCCTTCTTTCCATTGGCCAATAGATGCCAACTAATTTCATTTATAGTCACTCATTAAAATGAGTCAAACTATGCTAACAATAGAATCCATTCCTCAGGCCACCCGCACAGTCTTCTGTGTCCCGAAGTCCCTCACTGTGTATTAGGATGCTGGTTCCCTGCTAACCCAGCAGTGTCCCCTCTTGTCTCTCTGTCTCCTACCTCTGGAACAGGCTGGGGTTTACGGACGCCAGATCCCTACCTCCATCGTTGTCTTTGCTGTCCCCACAGGCGGTTTCCATGGACGTGTCACATCCGGCTCCTCTCCAGCCCAGCTGGCACACACAGTGCCACCCATTCAGGTCCAGGGTACATCTGCCATTTCCATTGCACAAGCCAGGACAGCCCTCTGTAAGACAAAGCAGGGAGTCAAGGGCTGGGGCCCCATCGCAACTGTTACCCCTGCACTCTGCACTCATATGCTGTACCAGCTGCCTATACGATGCTTTCACGTCCGTCCGTCTCAGCAGCCGCGGAGGCAGGTACCACAATGACTCTCCACTTTACAGAGAAGACAGCAGAGACTCGGAGAAGTAAGGACTCTTACGGAGGGGTCTGGAACCCTCAGCATCTCCACCTCCCCCCATTACACAAGTGATCAGGATTTGGAGCTGCAGTCAGTTAATCAAGCCTGCCAGAGCCTGACTAGGGAGGTCTTCCACCCATCCTCAATCCTGGGCTTGGTTGTCTTGTCTCTTGGCCTTTAACTCACAGAGATTCCCCTGCCTCTGCCTCCTGGGTGCTGGGATTGAAGGTGTTCTGTAACACTTGGCCTAGAGATATGCTTTTCCCCCCTAGTTCTTGTAACTAGGTCAACTTCAGTGGGCCTTAGGCTTTTCATATTGGCTCTCCTTTTCTCCTAGACAACAGTATTTGCTTTGAGAATGAGGGCTTGGGTCTTTCTATTACCATTGTGTTTATGCTATGCTTTGGAAAGGGCTTTATACCAGGGGAGCCCAGGAGACTGTCACGACATAGACGAACTCCTGCTGGTCTCAAGTACAAAGGAAGAGCCAAGCAGTGCTAGCTGCTCAGCTGTGTATTTACACACCTGTCTCTTGTTAAGCATCTTATTTGGGCTAGCTACAGGCACAGAGATGAAAACTACCTAGTTGTATTCTTGAGAAGAAGGCATCCTACCAAAGTGCCTAGACGGAGACCTGAACTATACAGCGGGAACTAGGAATAGCTATGGCCATCTGAGAAGACGTGGGTGACCTAATAAAAAGAACAGGACACTGCTTGGAGCCCATTTCTTCTGCTCTGACCCCATGATGAGGTGGGGACTTTTAGTAACAGTCAAGTAGGCTTACAGGATTTTGATTACTGCCCTTTCAAGCCTGGTTTGTGGCTCAGAAGGTAAAAGCTATTGACGTGCAAGACCGATGACCTGAGTTTGAGTCTAGGAACCTAGTGTAGAAAGAGAAAACTGATTCCTAAAGATTGTTCTCTGACCTCCGCACCTGCGTCATGTTATATATGAGTTGAGTCCCACAGGCTTTTGTGGTGTGAGAGAGACACACACACATTTCAAAAAGGAAGAGACTCATGTTTAAGAAAACATTAGGTTTCATGGCTCACTTTAGCTCCTATTCTTTCATCCGAATTCTTTTCATTTCTATTCTTTCTCTTGAGTCCTTATTTTCATGATGGCCAGCTCTCTTCTCTGAGTGACTATCAACTCAAACTATGCTGTTCATGACATCTCTACTTCCTCTCCTTTGCTCCAGCCTCCAGGGAAGGAATGAGTTATACTAGTTTACTGTGATGAGCATCAAGTACCTGCCCATTTGGCTGTAAACTGAACATTCTGCCACAAAACCACAAAACCATGGAAAATGAACCTATTACCACTATTGGTTGTTGTTTTCATTTTTTTTCTCTTTCTTTCTCTTTTTTTCCTCCCTTCCTCCCTCCCTCCTTTCCTTCCTCCCTTCCTTCTTTCTTTTTGAGACAGGGTCCCACATAGCCCACACTGACTTCACACTTGCTATGCAGTTGCAGATGGCGCTGAACTTGTGACCATACCAATTCTGCCTCCCAAGTGCTGGGATTACAGGTGTGCACCACCACGTCTGCTCATGCATGCGGCGGTGGCAATTAAAGCCCAGGTTTCACGAACGCTGAGTGAGCACTCTGTCCGCTGGGCTCCATGACTCATTGTTTTTAAAGGACAACAAACCTGGCACATATAAACACTCAAGGAGCAGCTGATAGATCAGAACCTGAGACTAGTGTTTCAAGGACGTAAAAATGCATATTAAAACTAGCATGCAAAGATTAAATACCATTATGGCTCAAGGGCTTTGGATAGTTGACTCTGATTCCAACAAAAACCGGAAGTTCACTTCCTCTTGAGATGGTCGATGCAGACACCAACCAGTCAATGCAACCACGTCCTTTCCACGCAAGGAAGAAACACTGGTTGCATGTGGGGAATGCAGTGGGGATCACAAGAAGGCTTAGTAGAGGACGTAGAGCGTGTGGGAGGCTAGCCTCAAAACTGACCAAGAAGAAAAGCTGTAAACCTGGGCGCCAGGAGCAGTGGGTGGTATGCGGGTGACTGGTCTGTGTTCTGACTAAGCCACCATGATCAGTCACCCAGAGTGATCTCAGCCAGCAGAGCCTCTCCTGTCTTTCAGTTTGTCTCAAGTTTTCGTCCATCTACCCAGGGACTGCTTTTAATTAAACTACTCCTCCTGGGGTTAATCTTAGAGGAAGGAGGTGAAAGCTTTAAAAATATTAGGATACTCTTTTATTTTGCTGTGATACAGCATCTCATAAGATGCAGAAAGGACCTTTTGTGAGCATGAGCTTAGAAGCCACACCAAAGGCCAGCTCTATGACTCTGTGGCCAGGGGACCCGGCCAAGTTATTAAATTTTTTTGAACCCCAATATTCTTAATTATAACATAGGGGAATTAGGAGGGCTCAACATAATAAGGTATCTGTTATAATCACTTGGTAATGGCACTGTAGTCCCAAAGCAGGCACAGGCTATCCGTGAGTCATGAGCACAACGTGTTCTAATAAACTTGATTAACAAAAATCTGTGAGGAGGTAGACTTGGTCTGTGGACTATGTATTCTGGTAGATGCCTCAGGACAGCGAGGACAGTGACAGCTGCCATGTACTCGGGGGCTGCCATGCCTGGCCCCTAGGCTAGGTGTTTTGCACAGATTATTCCTCAAAGGGGAGACTTTGGGGGCTAGAGAAATGGCTCAGTGTGTAAAACACTTGCTGTGTAGATGTGAGGTCCTGAGTTTGGATCCCTAGAATCCACACCGAGACAGATACGGTAATCTCATTGTATCTACTTAGAGCTGGGTGGTTGAGACAGGAGAATCCCCAGGTTCTCAAGGGCCAGCTAGCTTGGTGCATACCGTGATGAACAAGAGACTCTGTTCCAAATAAGACGGATGGTGAGGACCAACACCTCAGGCTATCCTCCGGCCTTTGCAAGCGTGCTGTAGCTTGCACCCACATTCATCCACAAAACCTGGCTGTGTGTGTATGAGAACACACACACACGTTTTAAAAAATAATTTTCCAGATTTTCAGAGAAGTTCCAATTTCACACCATTAGTCTCAAGTTTTTAATTAAAAAAACAAAATATGTTTTGTAGTTATGGGTACACTGAAGTTTGGCGAACTTCAACTCAGATCTTTTTTTCCCTCTTTTGGCAGGGTTTCTCTGTGTACCTTTGGATCCTGTTCTAGAACTTGCTCTGTAGACCAGGCTGGCCCCGAACTCACAGAGATCTGCCTGTCCTTGCCTCCTGAGTGCTGGGTTTAAAGGCGTGCGCCACCACCGCCCGGCATCAACTCAGATCTTAGCACGGTCATTGGACGTTAACTCTGAACTTCAGTGTTTGCATCTGTAGGTGTGAAAGAGGCACTGAGCGGATTAAATGGCATGGCTTATGCCGGTTACTCAGCCCAGTAAGCATGAGAGCTGACTGTACAAGGGGCATTTACCATGTAAGGACCACTAATACTGGATTGGATTTTAGCTGTGTGTAACTTTACTAAGAACTGCACTCACTGGAAAGTAACCCTCTGCTGCTCAAACTGTGCCACTGTTTAGGTCTCACAAATACCAACCTCTCTGAAGTGAAGGAGCGCCATGCAGCTAGGGACATAGCTGTAGGGTCACCGCGCCATGCAATTGGCATTGGTGTAACACGGGCAGTGCCATGAGTCCCGGTCCATCCTCTTATCACCTCAAGCTTCCAAGGCGGGCTGTCCTTCTGATGACAGTCACTCTGGTTATTGGTTAATTTCTCAACAGTTCAGTGGTCTCACTCCCTCTGTTAGAATGCAGACTCCATAAAGGCCTCAGGGCTTCCCCTGGCGCCTTCACACGGCAGGCACTCACCACGCACTTGCTCAAATGAACCAACAGATCAGAGAGAAATGGGTTCTGCTTCTTTCCTCCTGACTGGTAAGGGTTGAGAAAGCTACCTCCCCTGTCTTGGCCTCGGTTTCCTGATGTATAACATGAATGATCCATTAGGTACCTCTAGCAAAACTGACCAATGAAGAAGGACAGACTATCAGATCTCATCACTCGATTCATAAGCTCAACATGTTTTATACATCACCCACTGGATGCCAGACTTTGTGTTAATAGATGGACGGAGGGAGACACCTTTTGCCTGTATTTTCCTGGAAGGATTTAAACTTAAATTTATTTATTTATTTTGAAATGGTTTTACTATTTGGCCCAGGCTGGCCTTGAACTTGTGATCCTCCTCCTAACTCAGCCTTCAAAGCCCTGAGATAACAAATTTGTGCCACTCACATCTGTGGGGCATAAGATCTTAAACACTCATTCTCATAGGGAACTCTGTGAGAGACTGGTCGTAAGGGGTCTCTAAAGAGAAGCTATAGGGGCTGGGTGTGGGGATCAGTTGGTAGATTGCTTGCCTAGCATGCATGAGGCCCTTGTTTGGGTCCCAGGAATGTATGTTTGTGTGGAGTGTGTGTGTGTGTGTGTCTGTGTGTGTGTAAAATCTGGGTGTAGTGGCACATAGCTGGAATCTCAGCTCCTGGGAGGTGGAGGCAGGAGACACAGGAGCCCAGGGTCATCTTCAGCTATACAGAGTTTCAGGTCACCCTGACGCAGACAACAACAATACCAACAACTATGAAAACCGACCAAAGACGACGAAGTGTCTGTTGTCAACTGAGTTCAGCAAACACTTTGGCTCTTAGCCACACTGAATGGTAGCACCTCACTGAAGAAAGCCCCATGTTTGTTTCCAGAGCATTTTCTGTTTTGGACTTGGAACTCTTTTCCCCATATATGTGCTGTGATAGTCTTGTCCAGGGCACCCCTCTTAGGTTTCTGCGAATTCCTCTGGTTGCCTACTCTACACACTTAGTGCTACTCAGAGGCACCCAGGGGAGGGAAACACTTAATATGGGGCCACTTTATCCACTCTCAGTTTCTTCAGACGACCCAAGTTCCACCCTGAGGACCTGCGCAGTACGTTGGCATCAGAACAGCCTGAGGGTACTTGGGAGTGAAGAAGGTTCACTTGTTTCTGGCACCCATCACCCCCATCCTCCACCCCATTAGCCAGCATGGGGAGGCCTCCTCCGGGGTGACTTGCTGACTTTCTTAAAGCAATATGCCCATCCTTCCCCATGGGAGAAGCTCGTTAATTCCACAAACCCTGAAACTCATCAATAATTCAGAGAGCCTGAGTGACATTAACAGTCCCCTATGGAAGGGCTCACACCAGGCATTTGCTGGAGCCAAAATAATGTAGTCTGGAGATTTAGAGGAGGGCTCAGTTTTTCAAAAGAAACGATGCCCTTTAAATGACAAGGGACCACTTCATCTCAATATCACCTTTGCAGCTGGCCAGCATCAGGCGTGGCCAGGAACCTTTCAGAATCTTGCGGAGTAGCAAGCGGGTTGCTTCCCGCCCAGCGCATGCCCTTCCAACTGCGTTTTGTCCTTTGCACCCCTTCATCTCTGCGCCCACTTCCCTGCACAAGATCAACATCTTTTCTCACCTCAGTGACAGCATTAATGTTACTGATCTCCTTGCTCCTAATATTCTCCCCCAACTCCTTTTCCACAGAAAGGACTAATGGGAGCCCCTAAATCACGAATGTCTTCTGCCCACTTTTAAAAAAAACTTTTCACAGCTGTCTTAAAGCCCATGTCAAATTCCACAATCTGCAAGCACCCTGCCTCCTTTGGTGAGGTCTCCAAACCGCCACCAGCAGGGCCCTTATCACACTGGTTGGGATTATTTGCTTCTGAGTCTTCTCTGAGAGACTATAGACCCCCTGCAGAGAGGGCCATTGCCACTGTGTGGAATCCACATTTCCTGGCAGCTTATGAGACCAGACAAGAGACTATTATTTACGTATGCTCTACCAACACAGGTGGGAGGAGAACAGAACTGGCTTTCTTTGAGCTATACCCACCACCGCTCTGCTTTGACAAATCTCAAGCAGGCCGGTACAGACTTCCGAACTGGGTTTGAGAATCAGCGCCCATTGCACTAGGACACTGGCCCTACGGGGTTTGCTACGTACCCAGATTTTACCAAGAAGCGTTTGTCTTTTAAAGGAAGTTCTGGTTCACTGACCTCAGCCCAATAAAGGTCTAGTGGTGGAATTTTCTGAACTACAGATCAGAGCAAGTGGCTTGAGGAAAGCTACTTCCCAGGGAGGATACAGTTGGCATATGTGATTGAGATGTAAGATATTGGGAATTATGAGACATTCTTGGTGACTTATGGTGATAGAATATAAAATGTTGGAAATCTGGATATGACCAGAAAGTCCAAAGTTCTGGCTTCATGACTTCCCAGACGTGTAACCTGGGTGAATCACTTAAAACTCCCTCAACTTCAGCTTCCGTTTTCACCCAAATGGGCAGCATTAAATCTGCTTCCTTTGAAAAAAAATTAAGAGGACTCAAGACTCATGGGCGCAAAGGACTCCACACGGTAGGGAGTGGTCCACTGAGTAATGATTCCATTATGAATTTAGTCTACACTCTGATGGTGACTGCAATGAACGCTTGTCCCAGGAGAACACTGAGATATGTCTATTTCCTGCTGGTCTGATTTTGTTCTCAGCAAAGGTCAGTGTATTAAAGTCAACAAACCTTGCTTCCTATCCGTTCGGTTGGGTCCTAGTAATACATTTGCTGCAGGGGCAAGGCTGACCCAGCTGAAAAGTCCATTATTGGTCCCTGTTTGGATGTGAACTGTCCCCCATAGACTCATATTGGAACACATGTTTCCCAGCTGTTTGGGAAGGCGGCGGAACCTTTTGGAGGTGGAACCTTATTGGAGGCAAGTGGATCACTGGGGGTTGACTTTGAGGTTTGGGAGTAGACTGTACTTCCTGTCTTCTCTCTACTTCCTGACTGCTGAGGTAATGGGGCTGGCAGGCTTATGTTCCTGCTGCCACATTTTCCACCATGATGGACAATATCCCCTCAGACTGTCAGCTGAAATAAACTCTTTCTCTTTAGGTGGCTTCTTCTCAGGCATTCGGTCATAGCAACAATAAGAATAGTAATATAGTTCCCCAAACCTTTTCCTGATTTTTTTTAAAGTTGTTAGTCTTTCGTACAAACAGCCAATTTGCCCCTTTCTATTACAATTTTGGATTTTAATCTCGCTGAGTCCTTCAAGTCAAGAGAAAGAATAAGGACACAGTGATGGCACCAGCCACTTGAGTCTACGGAGTGGCATCCCTACCCGGGTCCTGGTGCTTGGTGATCACTGCTTCATGCCACCCTCACGCTGCCCTCGTGGGGCAGACCTTCCAGCGTGCTCATCTTATAGATGACCATGTGACAGAGAAGTCACCTGCCCCCTGGCCACTCTGGTTGTGGAGTGTGGAAGGGAGCTGGGATTCAGCTGATTACAGAATACAAGTCCCTAACCAAGGGACACAGGCATTGTGTTTAGACCCAAGGATTAAAAGCTATGACGTCATGTTTTCTCCTTAGGAAGTGCTGGGTTATTTTAAAAGTTTCAACCCGAGCCTTATTATTACTGCTCTGATGTCTTCGCGGAGAATTAGAATCACCTAAGCCATATCAATGTTTTGACAATTACAAATCACGCTGCCATTAGGGGCTACTTTTCGTAGAACAAACTTACCAAAGCCAGGCCTTCTCTGTAAAGAAAAACAGGCAGCGAGCAACAGACCACCCTCTCCCCAGACTGCCATCTAGTTCTCATTCCCAGAGCCTGGCACGTGGACCTAGCACACAGTGAGTGCGCTCCGTGTGGCTGCTGGGAGAAGGAACACAGCAGTAACAGGATGCAGGCCTCGAGATTGTTTTCTCTTGCTCCTGAGCCTCTTCCTTTCCCAGGCCACCCAGGCTGGTCCCTAGTGTCTGGATTCTGATGGGCCAGAGGCCATAAGGAATGGGTGGGGTGACATGAGATGGGGTGGACGGGGTGGAAGGTCTGGGGGTGGGGTGCAGGGGTGATGGAAGGGTCGCAACACAATGGTAATGTCACAGACAGCTCTATGTGACTGGGGCAAAGAACGACATTCTCCATCCCCAAACCCACCCTCCTGCTGTGACAAAGCTGGGGATGCGGCAGCAGGTAGATACTGTCATGCCAATGTTGTGTTCTATACATTCTCATATGCACGTGACTTTTACGCTCACACACAAACACAGACACAAAGACAACAGGAAAATAGAGGAAGACCATACCTTTAACTACCCTATCCAGATAGTGAGCTTAGGAGATAAAAGACAGGACATTTAAGGTAGGACCAAGGAAGTGCAATACGGCCTGCCGTGTAACCATGCCAAGTGTTAAGGAGACACCAGGGAAGGGTGGGGAGTCAGGGTGGTGCCCAATGTTTGGGACAGGCCACTGTCATGGTAGGGGGGGGAAAAACAAAAACGAAAAACCAAAGACAAAATGACATGGGATAGAAGGACGGAGAGCAGGCGCATTCTCCATGAAGAGCCCAAAGGAGCAGTCGACTCATTCTGGGATCCAGGCATTTGGAAATGTGATCGTAGGAGCAGAAGACGTATGGAGAAGGACGATGGAAGAAACGAGTCTGGGAAGCTGCACGAGTGGCCACAGTCCTGCCCTGTCAGGTTCATTAACGGTCACGGGAAACTACAGCTAACCCTTTGGGCTACCCAGAGTGACGGCCGACCTCCCTCAAGGGGAGGCAGCTATACTGACAAATTATTTGGGCAGACAAACTCCCGAGAAATGAGAGGTTGGAGATCTGTAAATTTTGCCTAGTTTCTGATATACACCCGGGTTCTAGGTTGAGACTTTGGCTGAAATACATTGCTAGCTCATCTGTCTGGCATTTGCAAATTATCCAGGAACGCGCATGTCTACACAGACTCGAATGCAGAATGTGGGGGATGCCAAGTAAGATGTACCCCTACTTTGTGCATCTTACGAAGGATGTGAGGCGTAGATCGATGGATGTCACTGTGGAAAGTGGCAAAGGCGAGGGAAATCTGGCAATGTCTTATCAAGAGACGGAACAATGGATGCTTGGCTTTTCCAATGGAGGGGTCGTTTGAATTATACGACACTCTAAGGTCTTGCCTACTTGTGAGGGTATCTGCCAAACACTGCTCTGACTTCTAAACCCAGTGTGTACACGTGCTATGTGTCTGGATACCCAGAACAGGACTAATCTCTTCAGTTCCAGCCTAGAGTACCTATTTTACCCTCCTTGTTGGGGTGTGAAAGAGGCTTCCTTTTCTGGTTTCTCTACACATCTTTTTTCTGGGTTCTCATACAGGCCAGGCAGAAGACACCGTGTTCTAAAGCAACCAATGAATGCCTCAGGTAGGCTGTACCCCATCCTCAGCTTGATTTTATGTGCGATTCAAAAGTCCTTGAGACGGGACTGAACTATAATAATGGAGTGGCTTTATCTGGAAGCCAAAGGATTGTACGAACTGTAAGACCGGTTTTTCCTCACTTCATAAAAAAGACAGAGAGGTACCATTGCTATCGCTATCTATTATCTATCTATCTATCTATCTATCTATCTATCTATCTATCTATCATCTATCTACCTACTTACTACCTACCTATTCACTATCTATCTATTTGCTATCTATCTATCTATCTATCTATCATCTATCTGTTTGCATCACAATAGTGGTAGATGAGGGACTGTTCTTAGTTCATGTATCAATGCAGTAACTGTCATGATGACATATGCATCAGGAAGCCACATAGCCAAGTGGAAAATTGGGAGCAGGTGATTTAACAGGGCCTGCAAGCATCTCTTTATCCCTGGAGGTGCCGTGGGCTCTGTGCAGGAGGACATAAGAGGGGACTATGAAGGAGAATGGCGTTTAAGCAGGAGTGAATACACGGAGCCATGGGATGGCAAACATAGGGACCACCCAAATGAAAGAAAAATGAAACACGGGGAAAGCCCATCTCAAAAACAGCCAGGAGGTCTCTGGTCTAGAGGAGAACTTCGCTTGTTCTTGGTTCGTCTGTTTCTTTAGTTGTCTAAAAGTTTATTCATCTCAGTTTGCAAGGCAGTCTAAGATCTTGTAGCCATCACCTTGTGTGGTGTCCCAGAGCTTCACCACCAGAGAGCAAGGGCACATGCATAGAAAGTCCCGGCCCTGGTGGATTTCTTCGCTTTCCGGCATGCAGAGCTCCTGTGGAGAACCCTGGTTCAACATTCTTCTAACTACTCTAGACTCAGTGACATAGGACGTGTGGCGTGAGCTGTGACTTCCCTCCCAAGGATTTGGGTAGATGGGTCCCCTCACTGGGATCCACATGATCGCCTCGCTGTGTACTCGTGCTTTGAGGGAGTTTTCTGAACAGAAAACCTTCCTGATTGTCTCCAGACACAAGGGTGGCTTCCGAAGGTGAGGTACACTCCACGGGATAATCTCCTGAAAGCCAGGGCTGACTTCAGAGGGCTCTCTCTTCAAATGCCATTTCATTTCCGAGGACTTTGCAGTACGATAGATCTCTATTCGGAACAAATACTTTAATCCCTTTTAAGAACACTTGCTAATGTCTCCAGACCACAGGTGGGAACAGAAGCCAGCAGAAGTAACTGGAGCAGCTCAGGCTGTTTTCAGGAGGAAGTGTGGGCCTTCAAAATTTCAAACCCTAAGTCTACAGAGGGGTTCCTCTGCTACAGTGACACCAGAGATCACACCGACTAAAAAGGCTGGGAACACCTTCATGGCCAAGTCCAAGAGTTCTCTGAAAAGGGAACAAAACTTCCTTATCTCAGGCTGTAGAAAAAGGAAGCGACATCTGGGGTTTTGAAGTCCCATGCTGTTTCCTTAAACAAAGGCAGAGGCCCACACTGTTACTGACTGGACATCTTGACAGGAATGTTCTCAAACGCCACCATCTTGAAATCCATGACTTTAAGGTATTTTGAGACGATGGTGACCAGCCCATAGTTTGTGGTTTGGAAGGTGGGTTCAGGAGTTCGTGAGATCTCTGCGTCCTTCAACTCAGGGCTCCAAGATGAAGGTGCTGTGGTAGTAGCATCTTCCCCCACAGGCTGCAGGTATTTCCTTTATTTCCTTGTCGCACAGGTGTTCTTGGGCTCTTCCTATCTCCTTGTCACTGAGAAGACGGAGAAACCGGCAGCACAGAGTCATTTCCAGTAGGTTCTGAGGTGGGGTGTTTTAGGTGTCTTTGGTATTCCTGGGACCACCGGTGTGAAGATGCAGATTTATTTTCGTTCACTTGCCTGGACCCACAGAGGTTTCTAAGGGTTTTCCATCATAGTAGCTCCCAGCAGCACTGGGGCCTCTATCAAGGCTTCAAACCTGGTGAGAGGCTTCCCCTTCTCGCTCCCCAAGAATCCGGGGTTGACAATTAACCCTTGCATCACTGGCTCACACTATGACAGATGAAGTAGAGATCATTACAGCAGGTGCTGGAGTGGGGGTTATCGCCATGCGAATGTCTTTCCGGAAGATACTAACTACCAATGTGATGTTCTTACTGAGACCCAACAGGTCCTTGTTCTTCTTCTTCTTGAATGCAGGACTGGTAGATGAGGGGTCAGTGGTTTCTACCCTGAAATGACCCCACAAATCTCCTTTCTTTTCTTCCAGTTTCCCACCCTTTTCATAGGTGCACATCTCCCGGAGACGCTGGCAGTCAGACTTGGACTCTGACAGCTCCAGGGGGATTGCTGTGTGCTCTTTCCCTCTCTCTCCCTTTCCCGTGGGCTCTCGGGCCCTGTTGTGAGAGAGAGCTTTTGGGAATGAACAGCATAGGGTCATCACCCGGGTGCTGACACCGCCTGAGCGGCTTCTGAGCTCTTGTGGAAGGACAAATCTGATTACAAGGTGAAACTGGAGAGCTACCATTTGAAAGTGGACAAGGTACTCTAGAAGATTCTGCGGCTTTCTTGAAAATTCCCCTTCATTATGAAGTCTGGTTTTGCTCCCTCAGGTGATTGCGTCACCAGAGTGTTATTTTGGTCTTTCCTCCCAGAAGAGGCTTTTGTTTAAGAATCGGGGTTTATGTGATTGGACGGCTCTCCCGAAGTTCAAGTAAATAATTCTGAATGTCTGGCATCTCCTGCCATCACAGCTTTGGGGTCAAGGTTGGATTTTATAAGTGAGATCAGAAGCTGGCATTTCCCACACGTGTTCTGAGGTTTTGTAGATGAGGGGGCGCTGAGGTGAATAAAATAATCACCGTAGAATTGATCCAAAATGTACGTGTTTTCAAAGACGGGGAAAAATTAAACACCTTAAATTTAACAATGATTTTCAACTTTTCTTAAGAAACTGGAGGTCAAGTCTTGGACTGGCGGGACCCATAACATTCCTGGAACAGACATCTGAAATCGCACTTCTGATGATTGTTGTATGAACCACACACTTGAGGAACAGAGCCAAGTCAATCCATCTTACCTTAGCTTCTAGACTGGGAACCGTAGCTCCATATACGCAAATGACTCCCACAGACGCAAATGAAAGCATTCGTATTGAGGGAGCAAAACAAAATTGTTTTCTTTGGTGGGGGACAGTTTCAGGTGAAATTCTTCTGGGGTGATGGGAGGTGGAGGAGAGGGCTGGAATTCCATCATCACCAGTGACATCATCCAGCTGCTCATTCTGTGAGCGTTGAGAGAGAAACTGTCCCGGACAATCATGTGATTTTCCTGTGGCAATTTCACCAGAGACATATCCACTAGGTGCCGAGAGAGGGTGATTCCTCACCTAAGGCATGGGCCGGGAAGGGCTCCATGGGGCATTCTCACGAGAGTGAAAACAATATTGCCATTAAAGAAGATGCCATTGACGTGTTTTCTCTTATTTGGAAAACCAATCTCTTTGGAGATAAAACAAGCAGCTTCCTTGAAAGATCCAGGGAGGGTGAGGGTGGGGGAACCAAATCTCTAAAGGAAGGTGTGTGATGTCTACTATAACAATCTGCAATGGGAAGTGTCCCTGAGGGACAACACTTCTTCTGCTGGGGACTTGGCTGAAAGAGCCCAGAGTTTCCTCGGTCTTTATGTACTACTTCCTTCCTGCTGTAAGGTAAACACATTATTCTTTCCTGTTTGCGGAGGGTAGCGATGTTTAGATAAACAGAACCTGAGTCTGATCCCTTCCACAGCACAGAGGTCTTTGAATCGGCATCAAGGGTACTAGCATCTGCTCTGGTTGGGAGAGAACTGGATTGCAGGGTAGGTTCTAGCTTCAGGACTGATGGTGGGAGAGAATTGAACGCTTGGCATGTCTCTCATGTCGGCACCCTCTTTCCTACAAGTGATGCTCACAGGGATACAAAAGGGGGGGATTTCTCCTTCCTACCACTTCAGCAAGGAGGGAGTACTCAACATTGTCTAAGCTGAACCCCTAACCCCTTCTATCCTGCACGGTTACTGAGGTGTTACTTCAGCATGAGGGTACTGGGTTTCTCACAGGGATGCAGCTGGCCACAGCAGAGACCCAAAAACAGAAGGGAGCCATGCAGGGAAATTACACAGGGACAAAGGAAACGCTCACCACACAATGAGAGAATAGAATCCCGAGCCCAAGTCCTTTCATCTGAGCCACTGTGACTTGCCCGTGACCTCCTCTGTGTCCTGTGGCATTTTTCTTATTTTTGATATTTATGACTGTCAACCTTCCTCTTCAGCTATGCATATTTACCTTGATGTATTTCTTATCTAAAAGGAAAAACCATCTGCAATCAAAGAAGAAGCTGTTCTTAAAGGGAAACAATGGGGCAAGCAGGGGAGGTAGAAAGGACAGTAGAGCTTCTTGGCACCAAAACAAATGAGATCTTCTGAAAGCTGGTCTGATGAATAGCTATGGCAGATGTGGTCCAGCCTGCCTACAAGCCTTGACACCAATCCTCTGCAGCGAGACCAAGGGAGAATTTCCCTCCTTGCTGTCATTTGGCATGGGCGGGAGGTCTTGTTTTATAAAGAGCAGTTACCTCTTGGAATTTGGGAAAGCAAACTCAGAACTTCATAAGCAAGAGATGGAAAATGTGTTTTCCTTGGGTTCTGATGGTTTGTTTTTTCTAAAATGTATGTGTGAGCAGAGTGTGGTGGTGCACTTTTAATCCCTGTACTCGGGAGGCAGAGGCAAGTGGATTGCTGGAATTTTGGGAGCCAGCCTGGTCCACATAGTGAGTTTCAGGACAGCCAAGGCTACAAAGTGAGACCCTATCTCAATAAAACAAAAGCAAAAGTGTGTGTGTGTGTGTACACATGTGTATCTATCTCAAAAAACCAAACAAATCAAAAACAAAAGCAAAAGTGTGTGTGTGTGTGTGTGTGTACACACGTGTATCTATCTCAAAAACCAAACAAATCAAAAAGAAAAGCAAAAGTGTGTGTGTATATGTGTGTGTCTATCTCAAAAAAAAAATCAAAAACAAAAGTGTGTGTGTGTGTGCGTGCTCACGCTCGTGCACAGCATGGAGGCCATAGAAGAATCTTAAGGAACACCACCCATCTTATTTGAGATTGGGTCTTTTGTTGGCCTAGGGCTCACCAGTTAGGCTACACCCATTAGCCACTGAGATCCTATTGCCGGCACCATTCTGGCGCTGGGATTACGAGCATCAGCCACCACACCTGGCTTCGACATGGATTCTGGGGTTTGAACTCAGGCCCTAACGCCGGCAAGGCAAGCAGCTTACCAGCTGAGCCATTCTCTAGAACCTGATTCTTTCTTGAAATGGGAATGAACTTCCAGGTTAAGAGACTGAAAGTTTAGGCTGTCCTCGGAGTAAAGGAGAGAGGAAAGCAGAGGCTCTGAGATGACCAGGCTCACTAAGAATTCCGAGACAGACCTGAGATGGGGTAACCTTACAGAAGTCGTCAAGCAGCTCGCAATGAGATGGGACGGCACGGTCTGCTGTGCGGAAGAGAAAGCCGCGTCACCAATACGAAGGGATCTATGAGGAGCATGGGGTGAGGCAAAGTCGGGGGGACTCCGAGCCTGACTGGACAAACAGGGCCCTGTTCTAGGCAGGGCCTGAGCTGGATGCCTGGTGGACACCTGGGAACCAGCTGCAAAGGACCGTAGGGCGAACAGCTGGGAAGGGAAAAAATCAAGCTTCTAATTCTTGTTTTCAAAGGTTATACGCCCTTTACTTCCAGGTCCCCGAGAAAGAGAAAATAATCCATAACTCTTTGCATTGTTAGAAGTGTAAAATAATGCAGTTAGAGCCTTAGGCACAGTGCTTGGCACATCATAAATACTCAAAAATTAGGAGCCATTATTGTTAATAGATAGAACATGTTCCATAGCTGTTTATTAACTTGGGGATGTTGCAGAGGACTGAGGATATGAAGTAATGGCAAAACAAAAAGACTGGATACAAGGTACACAATTTGCTTAAAATCCCTTTCTCTCTCAAAAGTTAGGGCTTTTCTTGCCATTTCTATGAGACCCAAAGGGTCACTTTCTGCACTGAGAGGCACCTGGAATCCTGCCTTATAAAAGCCATGTGCTTACCATCTGATCACAAACCCTTTCTTAAAAAAAAGAGAGAGAGAGGAAAGGGAAGAAGTTAAAACGCGTACACAAAGCAGTCGATCCAATAAAGAGCTTTTGGTGAGTGTTCATTCCAGGATAATAAACCAAGCGAAACGTCTGGCTGTGTTTAAAATCAACAAAGCCAGCAGGAAAGGCAGAGAGACGGGAAGAAGTGATCAGCTTGTTTTGAAAGCGGCTGACAGTGCTGCTTCAGCAGGGCCTGGTGCGGAGCAGCCCCCAGAGAGGAGAAAGGAGACAGATGCAGACAGAATGGAAGCCTGGGGCAGGGGAAAGAGAAATGCAGATGTGGCCTAGGGACCTGGAGAAGAGTTTTTGCCGGGATTAGAGGCCTCTTCGGGAGCCTTGGATACTACAAGGAGCTGTGCAGCCATATGATAAAACTGCTAACGACGGCCACATGTTTGGGGCACTCCACCGTGCGCCAGCCTGTGCCAAGCTCTTTGCTTGCCTTATTCTCCCCATCCTATAGGTGAGGAAATTGAGATTCAGCGGGGCAGTGGCCCTTGCCCATAGCCGCCACTTGACTCATCTCTGGGCAAAGAGCAATGTCACATTTAGCTCGGGAAGGGCTCAAGAGCAAGACCTGCTAACCAGCTAGATGCCACGTGGGGAATGCATCTGGGGGAGGACGTGTGTGGAAAATGACAGATGGTGTGCTTAAACCCAGCTGATGTCTAGGAGAAGCCAGTCATAATGCCGTCAGATGAAAGGACTTTGGGCCTCTATCCACATGCAGTGGAGGCCCAGGCTGGCCCCCAAGTGTCTTTCAGAGCAACCAGAATGCCCTGAGACCTTTGCCATACCGATGGTGCAGTGTTCGCCGTTCCAGCCGGGGCTGCATTCACACTTGCCATCCCTGCAGGTCCCATGTTCCGCACAGCGAGGGTGGCAGGCCCGTTGGTCGCATGCAGCCCCCATCCAGCCATCCTCACAGCGGCAGGTGCCTCCTACGCAGACGCCGTGGCCACCGCAGTCAGCAGCACAGATCTCTGTGGGCGAGAAAGAGGGGCAAAGGGGCAGGGGTGGGAGGAGAGAGAACAAAAGCTTATTGAGCCAGTTGTTGCTGGGAACAGGGGTCACCCTTGGCCACCTAGTTAGGCTCTGTCAGCGGTGGGGATTCCAGAGGCTCGGTAGAGTAATCTCCACGGGCCTTTGGCAGAGGCCCGCCAGCACTGGCTTCTTCACCAGAATAGGGGGATTGTGTAGCTCTGCTCTGTTTGCTTTTCCCTATCACCACTCTGCTTTTGTGCTGGCCACTTCCAAAGGGGACCGGCCTTCTGAACAGATGCGAGGAAAAGTCACATTTAATTAAAAATCAGCTATGGGTGAAGACAACGTGGGGATGCGTCCCTGTCACCAAATGAGGCGCTTGTGGGCCTGGCGAGGACCCCATGAAGATTGTCTTTACAGCCTCTGCTCCAGTGCAGACAGAGTGGGAGGAAGGGAGGGAGGGGGAGAGAGTAGGGGTAGGGGTGGCTGGTTCATGCTTCTGTTTTCAGGGTTGCCCCAGATCTAGGTTTGCCCTGCGAAACTGGGTTTATTTTCTGTCCTTGGGCTTGATGCTCCCCACAGCTTCAGGCACCACTGAAATGAGCTCTCTGGTCCAAAGTAAACAGCGGGGGAGGGGGACACTTCACGGCCAGAGAGGGGCTGCCTTGTCCTTCACAAAGGCTGCTCTGTGTGGGTGCAAAACACACAGGGCCCATTTCACAAGTCCCTGGGGCTCCAAGCCAGCAGCTGCCTCATGCTTACTGAAAATCTCAGACCAAAAGGTTTGCTTTTTAGGAAATTTGTGTAGCTCATGAACAGGCGCGCGCACACACACACACACACACACACACACACACACACACACACCAGGTGATCTTCTCCAGGGCTCTGATGGAGGACTAGACTTGATCAACTCGTGCCCCATGACCCAACAGTCTTCCCTGTGTGTGAAAAGCCCAACAATTTTAAATTTCTTTGCAACCAGGTTAAATGGCACCTGCGTCAAGCTGTCTCCACCCATTTCTCCCTTTCTAGAGGCACTGCAGTGCTAAGAAGCTGCTAATATTCTAGGTTCTTCGACAAAAGGAAGGACAAGGGCTGGGGGTGGCTCAGTGTTTGCTGCACCAGCATAGGTATAACATCAGTTTATAACCTCTGTACCCACAGAGAAGCTGGGCGTGGCTACAAGTCTGCAGCCCCGGGGTCTCCCAGCCAGTCAGCCTGGTCCAGCAGGTGAGCTTCAGGTCTAGGGAGAGATGCTCTCCTCAGAAGAATACATAGGGTAGAGGGTGACAGAGCATGGACTCCCATGTGCACACACATGTGTATACACACACATGTACACACACACACACACAAAGGAAAATAAAATTGGATTTCAGCGGTTCTGACATTTTTTTTTCCATCAACCTAGAATACAATAAACAAAGTGCTGGGAAATTTAAAAAGCACAATAAGAGCTGCTATTTATGTTGTGTTTCTACACAGCTATCTTGCCAAGCTGCCACTGCAGAACAGAGGTTGTGGTTAGATGCAGTACACATGGTATCTCTCTGCTGTCCAGGCCTGGGGAGCTGCTGAAGAGGGGCGGAAGCAGTTGTGACATGGAGCCAGGCACCAGGATCGTGCCAGGCCCAGGAGCTTCTGAGCTGTAGGATATGGAAGGAGGTCCCTTGGGTCCACCGAGCCACAGCTTTTGGTTTGGAAGGACTGTGCGGTGAAGCCTTGCTACAAAACAGCCCTCTGCTCTTCTCCAGACCCTCGTGAGTGCTCAGGGCAGAACAGAGGGTCGAGGAAATCAAGATGGAGGTCAGGGCAGCCCACTTCCCCTAGGCATTCTGAGAGGCTTGTGAGATCCTTGCCTGCTTAGTCACTGTCTCGGGACCTGGGTGTCACTTTGTCCCTGTCTCTTGGTGTCAGCTTCCTCATCTTCTTCTGGGGGAACCTGAAGATGTCTAAAGTCCCGCTGGGTTCCAAGACATAGTCTGTGCCACAGTATCCTCCATGTTACACAATACAACCACAGTAGAAGGCCTGGCCCAAGGTCCTGGCTTCTCTTCTCACCTGTAATTCATCTGTGGCTAGGCGTTTGCTTCTCCCCACCCCAGACTACACTTTGGGGTGCTTCTCCGTGTCACAGCCAGATCCGCAGCAGCCCAGGGCTTGGGCTCCACCCTCTGGTCACCTCTGTTCCTGAACTGATACTTGTTAAATAACAGACAGATGGAGATGCCCCACGTGACAGGTGCCTGAGGGTGGTGAGTTCCTGTGTGTACCACTCAGCCTGGCTCAATGTCCAGCAAGCCTGTCTGTCTGCGTCTCTGGGTCTGAAGATGGAACCGTGGCACTAGGTGTCCCACATCCAGCAGCTCTCCAGGGTGCACCCCCCTCAGACAACATCTTGGGCTTGCCCAAGGACAGAGAGCAACAAGTTTCAGGCCCCAGACCCCTGTGGGTCATGGGTTGGGTCACATCTCTGACACTTCCTTCTGTTTATACACACTTAAAGGGCGGTGACCTCCTGGTGGCTCTGGGGGCTGGTTGAGCACCCTGGGAGAGAAGAATAACCCGGCATTCATTTGGGTTTGCCCAGCACTTTTTTCCAAGTGGGAGTTGATGGTGTGAAAGCCAACAGCAAATAGCGCTTCTGTCCTCGGAGGTGTGAACCAGGAGACTGGCAGCCGAAGCTGTGGGGTTTGGGGCAGCAAGGCACAGGGAGGCAGAAGGGCCAAGGGCAGAGAGTGAGGCTTTGTCCTGCACTTGCATTTAATGGACATATAACCTCCTCCATACTTTAAATCATTGCTAGACTGAGTTGTCAGGGCCAAACAACTGTGTTTATAGTTGTTTGCTATACTCTTTAGGGAACAGATGCAAGAAAAAAAATCTATACTCAGTATAGACGAAGTTTTTGTTTCCAGTCTACAGTTGATCGAAACTCCAGAAGCAGAAGTTATGGACACAGGACATGGGCTTCACCTCAGACTTAGTAACCTGGCAGTGCTCACTGCCAGCCTGCTGAGCTGCTCAGCTGCTCTGAGTGTCCTTTCTTTCCTCTGTGTAAAGGGAATGCGGAGAGCCACACTGCAGAGGCGCCATAGTGCCTGATCTAGGTGTCAGGGAGTCCCTACTGATTTACATCTAGTGAGCCCTGAGCCCAAGCTGTGTCTAGTGCTAGAAACGCACAGGCCAGTAAGATCCAACCTCTGTCCCAGAAAAGCACAGTCCACATAAGACACAAACTGATTCTAAATAGTCAACATATGCATTCTAAATATATAAACATTCCAAATAGTAAATATATTTGCTTATAGCGTATGTACTAATACACAGCCATTATTAATACCTATACCTTTTTGTTTAGCTACCATGGGTTAAAGCCATGGCTCTAAGGAGGAGGCAGACCTGGGACTTGCCCATGGATTTGTCACTTATGGACTGCATAAAATGCACTGTATTACACAACCCATTAAGCCTCACTTTGCATCTCTGTAAAATAGGGGTGATAACTTTCACTTCACTACCCTCACGGGCCTGCTATTAGATCAAATGAGGTAATGCGGGGGGGGGGGGGGGGAGACGTTTCTGATTTAACACTTCTATCAGGTTTTACACCTCCCGAAGCACATTTCATATGCGGTTTCTCACTAATTCTTACAGCAACGTTGTGAGAACACCATGTTACTGTCCTTCTTAGAGATGTGGCTCCGGAGAGCTTGATAAGGTCCAGGCATCCTTGGAACCATGCAGTTCGGCAAAGCAGACAGTTCTTTAAATGGAGCCTCAGAATAAGCAAGACGGGTACCCAGGAGAGCTCTTCCTCGAAGGTCCAGCAGACCTCTCCTGCCCACTTCTGGCCCCATTGTTTTGTTTTTCTTTGTTCTGCCCGAGTTTAACCCTGGGTGTTCATGGAATCTTCCGGGCAGAGTTCCCGGGATGACCCTGCCTCTTGTTCTTTGCATGCAGAGTTTGGTCCCATCATCTAAACACGCCACTTTCTTGCTGGCCACATTTCCCTATTGTCTAGGGCTGCCTGGTGACTGGGCACCCCCGCCCCCACCGCAGGCCCTTTACAAGCTGGCTCGTGAGCTCTGGCACGTTTTAATGGGAGGGGCCCAGACCGGGTGACCTTGATGTTTACGGGGTGCTAACTGATGGTAACACAGAAAAGCCTGTTGGACCGAGTGGAAGGACCCTCAACGCCTGATGGGAGGAGAAACCCGAGACTTGACTTTACCTTTTGGCTTCGGACTGACTGCATTCCCTATTCCCCGCCCCCCAATACTCTGGTTTATTATTCTTGCCCTTGAAATAAAAGGAACTGTTTTATTTTTCCTTCTCAGATTCAGCCTTGACATTAAAGCAGATGAAACTTCACAGAACACTGGGTGAGAACCAAGCAGGACAGTGCTCTAGAATGTGCTTTGGCGGCTCATCTGCCATTTACATAACAGAAGCATCCTCCGGGGAAGTGGGTCACAGCTCCTCTCTAAATCTCAGGTTTCCTTCTTTCTAAGTGGGGGTGGTGGTGGCATCAGCCACTTTAAAGAGTGTGGCAGGGCTGGTTCTCGCATGGGTATCTTCCTAAGTGCTAAAGTGACAGCGGGCTTGAGACTCAAAACCCGACAAAGCCTGCTTTCCTGTCTCCTGGAGTTGTATTCCAGCACAGCAGAAGCATTTAACCTACTCTATCGGGTCAAATGAACTGACGTGCCCAAAGGTAAAGACCGTGGCATAGAATCTATGCTTGGCACAGTCAGAACACAACCAATTTCATATGTACTTTTAATGTACTTATTTTAATAAAAAGGAAACAAGACGTGGCAAGTGTAGCAAAGTCAAGAGATCAGTGTGAGTGCTGATGCCCGCTCCACACCTAGTGTAAGAGAACTTTTGGCAAAGGCTGCTTAACTCTCATGTGATCAGAACCAGAGGTTTCTGCCTGAGTATGGGAGGCCCCAGGGCCTGGGAGAAATCTTTTTTTTATACAGGAGCTATA